AAGAGAGGGTGAACTTGTCCAGGTCAGTAGCCGCCAGGTCTTGAGGAGGGAAAGTGCAAGGTATATGGCCAAAGCACCACCTCACGCCCGAGAGCCTTTCATAGGCATTTAGAGATGGTGGTTTAGTGGTGGACAGGTTGTGGTTGGACTCGGGTCTTTTCCAACCAAATTCGAAAGACCTTATCCCCTCTGCAGCTCCTGAAAGGAGGGGGTAGAGAGGGGGGTGTTGGCCTCTTCTTCCAGTGATAGAATGAGAAGAAATGGCCTCGAGTTGTGCCAGGGGAGGGTGAGGTTGGATCTGAGGGGAAATTTCTTCCCTCAAGGGTTCTCAGGGCCTGGCAGGAGCTGCCCAGGGCAGTGGTGGAGTCCCCATCCCTGGAGGGCTTCAAAACCCATGTGGATGTGGCACCAGGCTCATGGTTTAGTGGCCATGGTGGGGTCGGGTTGACGTTGGACTCAATCTTAGAGGTCTCCTTCAACCTTAATGATGCTGTGATTAATATCCTTCAGTCATGACCCAAACCTCAGCTCCTGCCTCATCCACTGCCCAGGGCCATGGCCATACAGCCAGATCAGAGATGGGTCCAGCAGAGCTTTGCCCATGCTCTTGGCTCATTCCTCAGCCTGGAAAGCTCTGCACACCAAGCTCTGCTCAGCTTTCTCTGTGCCACATAGGGGCATGGGGGGCACCATTTCTCAGCTCTGTGCAGCACAAAACCAGGTTTCCAGAAGTGCTGCAAGGCAGGTGATGAGATACCAGAGCCTCATTTTCCACCAAGCACCATACAGCTGCGCAAAAGCCAAGGATTTCTTAAAAATGAAGGGCCTTTGCACATCTCCCAGCCCAGCTCCACAACGACCAGGCACAGTAAAAGCTCTCTAAAGAGCTACAAAGTGCACTATGAAGCTTTCAAGGCAAGCCATGCAAACCCACTCACCTCCCAGGCATGGTGGGAAGCCCAAGCCGAACACAGCACCAATATCCCCCTCCACGGGGTCGCTGAGGATCCCTTCCTGCAGGCACATGGCTGCCTCGTTCACAAACCTGGTCACCAAGCGCATCTGGATGTCCTCATCGGTGCAGCTGCAAGGAAAGGGCCTGTCAAGGCTGTGTAGGTAACACAGGGGCATGGAGGAGCCAGCACAGACAGGGACAGAGCCAGGGGTAGGGGACAGAATGGTTTCCCACTGGGAATGTCCCCATGTGTGGGGATAAGGATTGTGTTGTGACCACTTAAGAGTGGCAAAGGCTTGACCAGACCAGATGGGAACCGCTCCAGGGGATGGTTCAGTGCCAGCTCTACACCAGGTCCAATGCCAGGAAGGTCCTGGCAGGCCCCACCATTGGAAAGCTTTCTGCACAGGTGCCCAAACACTGATAAATTTGAGGATGCTCCATTCCCGCTAGCAGAAGCTCCCCCAAGCCAACAGCCTGCTCCCCTACACGCCAGCCAAATGTAATCTGGAGTGACTTTGTCTTCACCAACCTCCTCCAGTGCTGCTCAGATGCAGAAGGAGCTGGGTAAGGGCAAGAACCAGCCCACGATGGCTACTTACACTTCAGGTTTGGCCGTCATCTTGAACCGCGCCAAGATCTCATCCATGCCGGAGTTCACGCTCCTGTTCTTCACCCCCTCCTGGTAAACGTAAAAGCCTTTCCCTGCCTTGCGACCTGGTGGGGATGAAAAGAGACAGTCACAGCCTGCCACACGTCCCATCTGCTCCCTTTGCCTCTGAACTCCTTGTGACTCTTAGCACGAGCAGATCCTGCACTTCAGAGCGAGCCCGTGCGCTGCCTCGCCAAGCACAGAGGGGACAGGGCCCGTGGCCAGCTGAATCCTTGGCAAGATGTGCCCGGTGCTAATGCCTTCGCTAGGTCCAGAGCACAATGAAGTAATGCCACCGTTTCCATGGCTATGGCAGCAAAATGACACAGTCCTTGGGAGCAAGGGACAGAGGTGACAAGATCTCCTGAGCAGCTCTCGCTGCCAGGGGCCTGGTGACAGCGAGGGTCACTGGAGGGTGAAAGCTGTCACGGTCACACAGATGCACGCTGCTCCTTCCTGGCATGCTCAATGCAGGCAGAAACGTGGTTTTTACCTTGCACAGAGCTTCTAAACCTCAGCTCAGGGCTTAAAAGAGCACTTTCCTTTCCAGTCACTTGCTTCCTGTGTCCCAGAGCACTTGTGCAGGTTTTATGAAGGGGCCAGAGGTTCACAAGATCTTGCCTTTGCTCTGGGCAACACCTTTGCCTGCTGCTATCAGTCTGGCTGCAGACCAACTCACTCCCAGGGCTGTTCCCTGTGCTTTTCCTTGGACAAAGGGCAAACGTGTGTGATTAAAACAGCTTAGGGTCTCACCTAAGAAGCCTTTTTCCACCATGAGCTTGAACAACTCGATGCTGCCTCCTCCGAAGCGCTCGCCAAAGGCCTTGCCGAGGTCCTCGGCCACGTGTGTGGCCACATCGACTCCCACCTCGTCGATCAGCGTGGCAGCACCCACGGGGAAGCCGAAGGCCGTAGAGATGGCGTCTATTTTCTTTGGGTCAATGCCCTCCTGCGGGAGTGGAAGGGGAAGCAATGATGTCTCTGGGTGAGGGTCCTGGAAACCCAGCGTGGGGGCAGAAACCTCTCATTTATTTGAGGCCAAGGAAAGGAATCAGCCTCGTTAGCTGTTTAATTACAGACAGAAGCGGTGGAATAATGCTTGCACCACTCCCCTGGTGCTGTGTGAGGAGAAAGGAGCCCCATCGCTGCCCACGCCAGGTCTCATCATCCCACAGCTCAGCCCGGAGCAGCCTGAGGACAACCACGGGTGGTACCCACCTCCCTTTTTGGCCAGGGCTGGGCTCAGCCTGATGGGGGCAAGGGAGAAGCAGAATTTTCACACAATTATTTAGGAGATGCTCGACAGCCGATGGGATACGCACCTGGAGAACTCGAACCACTTCTCCCAGCATCGGCCCCAGGCACCTGGTGGTGTAGAAGCCAGGCCCATCCTAGGGAAGAAAAATGCAGCAGATCAGTACAAACTACAGGGCCACAACTGATTTTGGCAGGACAAGAAGCGGTGTTTCACAGCCCAGGCTGCACTTCAGCCACTGCCATGCAGGACAAACACACTGAAATCCCTTCCTAACAGCATGGTATTGAATACTAAAATAGTTTTTCCCCCTCTAGGACTCAGCAGTGTTTGAAGACTTCCATGAACTCACTCCCTGGAAGTTCCCACCAGAGTGGTTTTTTTAATTTAAAATAGCTTTTATTTAAAATAAGCAGGCTGCAGAAGCCTCCATGCTTCCCCAAGTCCAACAGGCTGACAGGGGAAAGGGTGCTCAGTGCAAGTGAAATGGGCATAAACCGGTTGTTTCACCTTTGATATTACTCACAAAGTAAGGAAGCAACAGATGGGCTGCAAATTGGGAAGCCTTTGATGTGGGGATGCGGGTTCAAGAAGCAGTGCTGTATCTCTAGCAGCCTTTAGAGACGCCTCGAGCACTTTTAGCCAAGCCAGTTCTCCCAGCACCACAGGAGAGACCTGCTCAGCAATGCTGGCAACCTCATCAGTGAAAAGACCAATCCAAAAATACACTCAAACTGCCTGGAGCCCACCAGGCTCAGATACCACACCTCACCACACAATCCCAGCATGTCAAGAGCTGGAAGGGACCTGGAAAGCTCCCCCAGTGCAACGTCCCCACAGCAGGATCACCAGAGCAGTCACACAGGAACACGGCCAGGGCTTTGGGGGTCTCCACACAAGGAGACTCCACAACCTCTCTGGGCAGCCTGGGCCATGCTCCAGAACCCTCACACTCATAAACTTTGGCCTCAGCTTCAGCTTGAGCCTCCTGTGCTCCAGCTTGGGACCATTGCCCCTTGTCCTGCCATTGGACATCCCACAGCAGAGCCTGGCTCCTTCCTCCTGACACTGCCCTTTCCCAATTGATCCCCCGGAATGAGGGCACCCCTCAGTCTCCTCTGCTCCAAGCTCAAGAGCCCCAGCTCCCTCAGCCGCTCCTCAGCACAAGATGCTCCACAGTGGTCACTGCTCCAAGTGATAGCACTTGTATGGTCAGGAAAAACGGCAAGACCATTGTCTCACTATAGGTCACATATCTGCACCTCATCTTGGTGGCCCTGCTGGACTCTTTCAAGCAGTTCCTGTCCTTCTTGAGCTGAAGGCCCAGCACTGGACACAAGATTGCAGCTGTGGTGTGAGCAGGGCAGAGCAGAGGGGCAGGGGAACCTCTCTGCCCTACAACCACCCCTTCTCATCCACCCCACGATGGCCTTGGCCTTCTTGGCTCAAGGGCACACTGCTGGCTCATGGGCATTGCTGCCACCAGCACCCCAGGTCCTTTCCAGCCACTCGTCCCCTGCAGCGTCCATGGGGTTATTGCACCCCAAGTGCAGGACCCGGCCCTTGGCCTTGTTGAAGCTCATCCCATTGGCCTCAGGCCCTGGATTCAGCCCATCCAGGTCCCTCTGCAGAGCCTTCCTACCCTCAGCAGATCAACACACCCTCCCAACTCAGTGTCACCTGCAAACTCATGCCTGCGCCTTTTCATGTTGGTCTCATCTTGAACAGACCATGTCTGCACTACAGAGCCCTTGGGGGAGTATTTTATTAATAATGCTACATGGAGGGTCTGCATTTCGTATCCTGAGCTATTGCCATCAGAGAGTCCCCAGGGATATTTGAGGACGCAAAGCCAAGCAGTTGTGCTGGAAAACTGTACAGAAGGAGGAAGATGAACCCCAAATCAAGTCCCATTCACGTTGCCAGCTGGGAGAGGTCCTTGCAGTGAAATGACCCAGGTAGGGATCACTTGGGCACAGCTGAAACAGCATCACTGATGCTTCCTACCGTAAGACCAGCTCTGTTTGGAGGAGCCTCTGCCCAACAGCAGCTGTCAGCCTGACAAACCACACAAAGGCCATGCAGGCTTTCCTGCATCCTTAAAGTCCTCAAAGTTTGTTCTCAACTGCTGCCTCGCTGTGCTGTGCTCAGTTGTCTCCTTCTGCTTGGTACAGCTCTTGCCCTATGCTTGCACACGTATTTCTGCCCCCCCTCACACATTTAAACCCAGACAGAGGAGGGTTACTGCTCACTGATGCTCTGTCCTTGCAGCTCAGCACAAAGAAGGGGTGGCGAGAGCCCTGCCTGGACTCTGCTCCATCTCAGATGTCACTGCAGACCTCAGCGTGCTGGAAGCTGCATGGAGCAGCACTGCCAGCTCCCTGTGCTGGTCCATCAGTGTCCCTGTGCCCCTGGCCTGCCACAGCTGCTCCAAAGGACACTTGAGGCATCACTTGGGCACCTGCCACCTTCTGACTCCCATTTTTACCCCTCAGCACGAGTAGCTAACGCCAGTGCATTCACAGCCACGTTTCAGGCTCCTCTCCTCTGCCTGCCCTTTATTACCCAGCTCCTGTCTTGCGCAGCATCCCCTCACCTTTACCACGATGACGACCTTGCCTTGCTTGAGGCCGACAGCAACAGCGGAAGCAGCCGTGTCCTGGGATGTTTTGTCCGTGGTGACGATTTCCAGCAGCTGCATTTTGTCCACGGGGGAGAAGTAGTGCATCCCAATCACCTAGGAGGAAGGGAGAGTGCAGGGTTAAGCCAGAATTTGGCTCCGAGCTGATGGGCAAATGCCCAAATGCAAAGGGAAGCAGACCGGTGTGGGCTGCAGGACCCAGCACCACTGCACGCTGTCCCTTCAAGCCACACACTTCACCGTATCCATCTCTGATGGGACTGCCCTCCAGTTCCCTTTTACTCCTTGGCTTTCCCAAGGACACAGCACACTTGTCTCAGCGAGGATTTCGGTGTAACGCTTACAGGACCAAGAGCACTGCTCAGCTCTCTCTATATTGGTTAATCTGGCAGCAAAACCTGCCTGGGAATCAGAGTCGAGCTCAGTCCTCAGGCAAATGATGGCACTGAGGGACCTGCAGGTGCTCTCTGAGCTGCCACACGTCGGGGGTGATGCTTCTGGACATCGAGAGTGGAACAGCAGCCACAGAGACAGCCACCGAGCAGAGTCCCTGTGTTCTGCTTGTGAAGGTTTTGGTTTAATTTACTCATTTTCGGTAATGAATTTCAGGACGAGAAGGCACGTTTCCAGAAACTAAATTACAGAGCAGCCTTCCTCTGGGGACAGCATTTAAGCGGGGATTATTCGGCTGTGTGCCTCACTTTCTTAGCACGACCATGTAATCAGCGTGTCACCTTCATGCCTCCTGGCAGCTACACTTGGCACTAAGAGCTGGATAAGACAGAGGCACCTTTGCAGGAGAGCTGCAGACTGCAAAACTGATTAAAGAAAACACAGTAATTAGTTAACTGCTTTGCTATTAGTTTCCCCATAAAGAGCCATTGCACAGGCAATTTATTCACTAAGAGGATGTTTAAAAAGTATGAATAAGATTCAGTTTGGATTTTGGAGGCAACTGAGGTTTGACAGCAAGCCAGGAGGAGGCTCAATAAGGTCACAGGGACCTCCAGCAGTGGGGACACACTTTGTCACTGCATGACCTGTGCAGATGTCCACAGAACTGCAGGAAGTCAAGCAGCAGAGGCAATGCACTGCCCTGGGCAGGCTTGAGACCCTCGTAGGAGTTTTGGGAGTCAGCCAAGGGTACCTGAGCTTTTGAATTTGTGAGACACTTATCAGCTAAGCTCTAGAGCTTCCCCCTCCTGCCCAGGCTGCTACTGCCTCCCCATCTCACCTATTTTAGAGGGAGATGGGATCATCTCACATAACTGTTTGCATTTTCTCCAGCCCCAGGCAGGCAAAGTAGATTTCTCAAATAAGGGGAAGTGTTTTAGAAGTGTTTTCCCTTTTGTTACATCAAGGACACCCTAAAAAAATGCTTAGCCCTCAGGAGGTGACTCCACCCAGTCACACAGACCCCTCACGCTACTTCAGATGCTCTCCAAGGACAAGCTCTTTGTTGAAAGCTTGCACTGGGGGAAGAGGATGAGCTGTTTCCTGTTTGGAGGAGGAAGCAGAAGATCCCAGTGCTCACTCACAGCAAAGGCAGTTTGCCACTGATGGGCAGCTGAGTGCTGAGTAGGCTCATGGCAGACACGTGGCCCAGA